TATAATATATAATATTATTGTATTTATTATTTATTAATACTGTTGTAGTTCACGGTGCTTGGTTGTTACCTTTGTTACTGACAACAGATGTCTTTTGCAGAAAGTGCTGTTAGAAGGAGTAACACTTGGAAACAGTTCTAACTTCAGTTTCCTGCCAAATATCAGGAAGTTAGCGGCTAATAGCAGCAATTATTAATGCCATTTCCTTTGGATAGCAGAACTTGTTAATTAGATACTTTCATTAGTAGTTGAGTAGTTAGAAAGAATCACAATACTTAGCATTTGCAGGTAAAATCAGGGATAACTCTTACACTGGGGGACAATGATGTCCATCCCTGCCAGAATAACCTAGCTCTGAGACTTACTTCATTGTTGTGGTAAATGCAGGCAGCACAAATGCTAACGAAAAGCCCAGCGCTGTAGCCTGCTTGACCTTGATGTACACTGTGCCTGTGCAAGAGTCCTCATTGTGGGGACAGGGGGAAGAGAGGATCCCCTCCAGCTGAAAAGCATTAGAGCTGCCACTGTGAAAAATCATCTCATCATAAATTTCTCTGGTTTTGGATTTCATACTGTCAGTTAAATGTCTGTACTGCCAATTTCTGTCACATGCAGTAGCAAACTGACAGTATAGTCTGGTCCTTACTTAATCCTCAGGTCTGAAAGAGCTGCGTTGTGAAAAAAACACAGGGATTCAGTTGAGCTTTAATGTGAGCTGTGCTTTTAGTGCACTTTTAGTCTTCTCAAGTTTGTGGCCATAGTGTTTGCATATAGTATACTAATATAACACATGTAGAATATATAACTATATAGCATATAGTGTAGTTCTTGCTGCTCTTCGCTTGTATTTCTGTGGTATACACCTTCATGGAGGATGTGCCGTGACTGTCTATAACTGATGGCTTCTCTTTTTTTTTTTCTTTTCCTTCTCCAGGTCATGTAAATGCAGTTTTGTGGTTGTAGAGCTAGTGCTGATAAAGCAATTCTGAATAATTTTAAAAAGACCTTCAGATAGAGAGAATACTTCAAACACTGGAGCTGACAAGTTGCTAGGATTGTAACTTGTTACTTGCATATACTTGAAATTTCCATAGTTTCAACTCCTGTTTTTATTTTCACTTTTTTTCTTCTCAAGAGTTCATCCTACTCAAAGCTGTCTTCATCTAATGTAGACAGGCATCTTTTGAGATTTGTTTTACCAGGACCTTGTGGGAACTATTGCATTGTTATCACTAAATATCATCATTAAATCTCTTGTGCTTAAACACAACCATCGTTCTCACACTTTGAGTAGCAGTGGAGTTTTCTGTTTGCTTGGGGATTTTTGGCTATGTCTGCAGGAATCTTTGACTGTCTTGAAATAATTTTTTTTGCCACACTGAGCACTTGTGTATCTGCTGTTGATGACTTAGCCAAATGAAAAGAAGTAATCTTAGAACCAAGCTGCACTGGGTTTTGCCTTTAATTCGTTAGTTTTGGTTTGTTTGTTTTGTATTTTCAGTGCTGTGGGAAGTTGTGGTGCTTTCCTTCCTCCCAGCTTAATCTCTGTTTTCTCAACTGTACTTAGTAACTGACTTGTGTGACACAAATAAGTTTATTGCAAACTAATTTAGTTGTAAGCTCATATAAGAGGCTTAAAAAGGCTGAGTAGGTCAACATTTATGGTATATTATTGTAGGTGGCAAAAACTGCAGTAAACTTCATAGGTTTTATCTGAATAAGTTAATTTTAGTAACTGGAGATTTTTCCTACTTGTAAATATCTTTCTGGTTGAAAATAGTTTTTTTTGAAATGAAGAAAGAAAACAGAAGTCAAAGTGTGCTTGAGTTGGCTTAGTTGTTTCACTATTAGTTTTCAGGCTGACCACTGTGCATTATCATGACATCGTATGTGTAGAATTTCTAGTCTTGCATGATAACACATAAAGTTGATATACTATTTCATTGTAAAAGTAAGTTTCATTTTAGCATGGCGATACAGAGAATATAGTCATAAAAGTGAATTATGGAGAGTTCTTTGATTTCTGATAATCTCTGACTGTTTGTTTGTTTCATGATCCTCAGAAACTTCAGGTTTTGAAAGATCAAGCGCAGGGCTTTCCAGTATGTGGGTGCAGGCCAATAATTGAAAGATTGCAGCCTGCAATTTAGAAATAAACCAAAATTCCATACTCGCTAATGTTGCTAATTAACAAGAGGTTAATATGTGAACATCTGCTTTAATTCATAATGCTTTAGTCATCTGTATCTATTGGCTTTTGTTTCATGTTTTGTTTCAGACATCTTTTTTTTGTTTGTTTGTTTTCTTATCCATCTTTAATTCTAGAACAACCAGAGAATGGTAATGATGCTACTGAATTGGGCAACTTTATCATACCTGAGATTAGTGTCACAAGTGTGGCTGGAGAGAGGACCGGGAATGGGGAAAAGAGCAGAGCACTAGCAGAGAATGATGTTCAGCATTTGCAGGGAGTACAGGAAACAGCTACAGATCCTAGAACTGACAGCAAAGTCATGCCAGAAATCAGGAGGCAAAAATCTGTAAGAAAAATGATGGAGGATGGAATAAACTCATCTGGCAGAGTGCAGTTTTAGCAGAGCACTTGTAGCTGCACTCTAAGGTACCACTATTGATTGAAAGGGTCACTGCTGCATGTTTGGAAAATTAAAGTATGCAGTTAATATATTTGCATGTGTAATAACACAAATGCATGTATTGCACACAGCTCTGTCTGTGCCACAGACAATGACAATGTACTTGCAAGTAGATTTATTTAATCTGGAGAAAATACACTATGAGACTCAATGTACCTTTGAGTTCATAAAGCATATTTATTGGGCTTACAAAATCCAGTGATCAATGATATGAAGAATCCATCAAAATGGATGCGAATACCATCTTGCTGTATACCTCAGATTTCCCAAATTCCACCTTTCATGGTATACTGGAGATCTCATGTGCTTGAGTTTCCAACTCATACCACCAGACCTATGATGCAGAAGGTGACCTTTCAGTCCTAAAGCATTCTTGGGTTGTGAAACGTGCAGGTGCCATATTGGGTGTCCTGGGGCATTGATCACATACCTTTATAATTAACGAGCTTTGCAAAATCATGTATTGGAGCACTTGCTCAGAATAAGATTTACAATTTTTTTGTTCTGTCTGGTATCTTCTAATCTGTAAGTTTCTAATCTCTTGCATGAATTAACAAGACTGCATTTTTTTTTTCCCCAAAATCACTACAAAATGAGATTGTGGGCATGCTTTTTGATCTAGTTAATGCAGCATTATTTGCTGTAACTTTATATCCTAATGAACCTTAATTCCAAAATGTAATGGAATAGGTAAGTGTTTTGTCTTCTGTTCTCTGTTCTGTGGCTGTATGGCTTCATGCTTGTAATATCAAAATCTAGCAATATGTCAAATCAATTAATGTGAGAAAGTCAATTGCTAATTCTTTCTTTCTTTTTCTACCATGCAGGTAATACTGATGTAGCGATTCAAGAAGAACTGATAGAAGTATCTGAAACTGATGAAGGGTTTTACTCTAGGGCTACTTCTAGTACAAGTCAGTCTGCCCTATCTAACAGCAGCAACACGAGCAGTAAGAACCTTTTAGGGAAGAGTCAACGAAGGTCTGGAGGAAGCAAAGCTGGAGGAAAAGAAAAAGAAGGAGAAACTTGCAGAGAACACTTGTCACGAAAACAGACTCAGAGAGCCATGAGTGAGAATCTAGAGCTTGTCTCTCTGAAGAGACTGACACTGACAACTAGCCAGTCCCTGCCTAAGCCTGGCAGCCATAGTCTGGCCAGAACGACCACTACTGTGTTTAGTAAATCCTTTGAACAGGTCAGTGGTGTCACAGTTCCAAATAACCGTGGTGGGGTATCTGGTACAGAGGCGAACAGGTTTTCAGCTTGCAGTCTTCAGGAGGAAAAACTGATATATGGAACAGAAAGAATGGATCTTCCCATTTTAAGCAAACAACCTAATCAGCAGCGACCTCCTAGTATTAGCATAACTTTGTCAACAGATTGATATTAAATTGGCAAGTATGAAAAAATAAAATAGTGAGGGTTCATGCTGATGTTGGTACATTGGTACATTAAGCCCCTTAATATGCTACATGTTACTTAAACCTCAAGCCTGTAAATTCTTATTTGGCTCACATTTGACAGTAATGGTGAATAGACAACAGTTGTAATTATTTTGTGTCAACTTCTAATAGCTTGGAAAGTTCCTCTTTGACTTACTGTATTTATACGCCTGATTGCTTACAGCTTCATGTGAAGTTTACAGCTTCACCAGTTTAACAAGCATTGATTGGCTGTTCAGCTCCTGACCAAATGTGTGGTTTTTTACAAATGCACAGTGTGGGAACAAATAGAGCCTCTTTCCCAAATTCTATTTTTTCACTGCCACTTGGCATAGGCGAAACTGCAAGTGCTTGTTTTAGTTAAGAGGAGTCTCGCAGTATGGGCATGAAATTTTGGAACAGCATTGTAAGAACAAACATTCTCTTACGTTAGCCATGCGAAAGCTGTGCTTATGTGTAAGGTTAAAACTAGAAGCATCAGTTCAGTGTTTGATGTTATGGCAGTTTTTGTAATGGTAGTTGGTACACATTGCAATGTTCATACTTCTTTGTGCCTATATGAGTCTGAATTATAGATGCATTTTGATTTTTCTTTACATCTCAAACTGGGCCAAAAGCCATACAGCAGCAGTACTTGCGGATAGGAGTTCTTATCAGTTGCTATAGTAGTCACTCTTTACACTTAAAATTGTGTGACAGACTCTTTCTTTCAGATTCTGAAATATCAGGCACAAAACTACGCATTGAAAAGTCGCTATTATCAGTATTTGTACGATTTATGGGGAAGAAATGTGCTAATGTAACAATGTTATGTAGGAAACAAGGTATGAGCTCTTTGCACTGACTCAAGCAAATCAGGAGTGTGAATGTGTTTAACATGAGCTTCTTACTTGAGACTGAGAATACTACCAAAGGATGTGTACTTTCAGTAACTTGCAAGCACAAAGGGAAATTATAATGTAAATACAACTAGCACTGTAATTCCTAGTCTTTTATATCTATTATTTTTCTAGTTTGAAATTCTAAAACAGGGGCCTGTTCAAGGTTACCTAACCTTTAACCTTCAGTTAGTCTGGTGACCTTGTTTGATACCAACTTTTATAACATTAAGACTTTAATGGATATTAAAACTTCTTACACAGAACTTTGGAGAAGCAATAGCTGACAAAACCACTCCAGTAGCAGTGATAGCTGATAAACAGACAATATATTATTATGAGTGGAGAAACAGGATAAAGATCTAAGGCATAGTCATGCCCAACATAGTCATGTCTGGATTTCTGCAGCTAGTGATCCCTTATTGTCAAGAACCTTGTAATAAAATAAACACTAAAATTCTGGTAGACTTTCCTACTTGCCTGGAGATAAGTTTAGCTATCCCTTTTTGACTTAAACTGAAGCACAAATAGCTTTTAAGCAGCTAATGTTATTCAGGTTTATAGTGATTAATAAGCTGATTAATGAAAAGAGATGAGGAGACATAGTTGATAGGGACAAATTAATTGTATAATTCTACTTCTAACACTGCAGACTAGATGTGTACATTTCTTAATATTCACCAAAGTCTGTGGAGTAGCTGCATCAGTCTGTAGATGTTTGTCTTCACTTGAGAACCTGAGTTTAAATGAATGTGCCATACTTTCTCATTCTTCAGGTTTTTGTGTGACACCATTCTGTTCTAGTAACGCAGTATTTCACATTTTTACAGTGAAGTTTGTTCTAAATTGTACATGAAAACTTACATTCCTAATGTATAAACTACAAGTTTGTCCTGTTTAGTGTTTAATACTTTGGCCAGTGAAATAAACTGGTTCTTTGAAGTTGTATGTTTTTGTAAACACTTTGTACAGCAGAAAATGTTGCCTCTTTTTTACAGGTTTTTCTGCAATACATGTTAGACAGCACATTTGTTTCAGATTGGCTAATACATGTTGCTGCTGGAGCATGCATAACCACCAGCAATAGAAGGGCTTTAGGCAGCTGATAGCGGAGGCTGGCTAGCACTACATATACTGAATGGAGAGCTCTTCCTTCCCTTGACCTTTGTTCTAGGTGTTACGAAGAAATAACCGGCAGAATTTACAGCTGCCTCCTGATCCGCTCTTGCGGTGTAGCACTTAAGAATACTTTGGAAATGCTTTACAGTAACTTAAATTGAAACATAAACTAGAATAGATATATAAAATTGCAATTGGCAAATGTTTGTTGTGACTGTATTAGTTGTGAGTTAGTGTTAAGGGACTAGAAATTTTAAGAAATTCTACTGGTTTTGTTTTGTTTCTTTAGTTCATGATTGTTTCAGTTATCTCAGTAGATGCTCTTTCAAGCTGGGCATTGGTATAAAAGATGTTTATTGTACTGGGAAGATTTAGTCACTTTAGCTATAAATAATTAGAATTTCAAAGGATCTAAAATGCCATAAAATGTAGATATGTAACATAATATTTGCAATACTTGTTGGCTACAAGTCAGTGTTAAAGTAAACTTAGTTTATCATTTTATCCAATTAATTATTCTAACTGTGGTCTGGCTTGAAGCCAAGATATCGGCTCATATTGATACAACTGAAACTACATCAAGCTTCATACTTTTTTGAGAAAATGATGAAAGGTTCTTGGTACTAAAAGCTGCTGTTTCCACACATAAGTGGCTTCATATAAATATGTGTGCATTGGTTTCTGGAGCAACTTACACAATGAGCATGTTTTTGTTAGCTGACATCACACCTTGATACTGATCAAGTCTAAAGAATTTCTTTCCTGATGTGAGTAATAAAACTTTCAGTTGTGCTTCTTTCTTTTCTTAAAAATGGAAAAGAAAAAAAAAAAGCAGGAGAGTGAGGGCAGAATTATTTGTTGTCCAAATATTTGTGGTGCAGGATTGGGGTGTGGGGAGGAGAGTGAAAGAGGGAAGGGAGGGCAGGAAGCAGATAGATTAATTCTTTCACGATATTTCTAAAATTGTCAGGCTCTTGGGTTTTGAGCGTTGTCTGATCACTTTAGACTGATGAATGAAAAATATATATTAAAGTAGTAGAAGTCTTCTAATAGTGTAAGGAAAACCTATTAAGGCATCCCATATTGTAGTCTACCCGGGAGTGGGTAGATCTGATGAATGCACTCCAAACATCACACACAGCTGCAATGTTCTGCAGGAAGAATGTTATGTAGGAGTGAATCATCTCAAGTTATAACAAGAGGGGTTGTTTTAATGCTGACATTTACAACTGACCTTACTGTTCTAAATGACACTGTTCCCAATGATGGCTTTGAGCAGCAACACTTTTAAAACTCTGTTGAAGCTGAGAATTATTATTTTTGTTGTGAGAATCTGTAACATTTGTGCAGAAAGCGTATGGCCTCTAACCACTAGCCGTAGAGCTGCAATGACTTTTCTGAAGGGAATTGCCTTGAATACCTGATGGATTTGACAGGTACAGAAATACTCGATACTAGCCACACTTCTCTCTAAGGAGGTCTCTCCTCATTTCTGTGAGGATTCTAGAAATTTCTAACGTAATTATGTCTGATATCTTTTGTCAGTGTTTGAGGCTTACAGTGCTGTATATAGATGTGTAATATATTGCCTTTTGTATTCGTATAATTCTACTTCTGTTACTGGCTGTGTACATTTCTCAATATTGACCAAAGTCTGTGGAATAGCTGCATCAGTCTGTAGATGTCTGTCTTCACCTGAGAACCTGAGTTTAAATGAATGTGCCACACTTTCTCATCTTCTTCAGTTCCTTCTGTGAGACTGTTCCGTGTTTTTGTAACACAGTATTTCACCTTTTTTACAGTGAAGTGTTCTCTTAACTGTACACGAAAACTTACATTCCTAATGTATAAACTACAAGGTTGTCTTGTTTGCTGTTTAATAATTTGGGCAGTAAATTAAACTGGTTTTTTTGAAGTTGTATACTTTTGTAAATACTCTCGCCTCTTCTTTATGGGGTTTGTGAAAAACACACTAGATAGCAATGTATTTGTTCAGTTTTCATTATAGACATCTAGAAGTCACAATAAGATTGACCACATTACTTAAAATGTGCTGAATACCCATTTTATGGAGCACAGGCTGTGCAAACGCAGCCTTGTCAGGTAAGATGCCATGCCTACACCACTTGGCTGAGGAACACTGACTGACAGGCAAAGGTGAGCTCAAGCAGATGAGTTGTAAACTGGTTGATGGCAGAAGTAGGTGACTGTCCTGTCAGTAATGTAGCACTACTTGGGCAACTTTGTAGTTTTGATGATCTTAGTATAACAGTGGTGTGATATGCAGCCATTACCGGCAATGTGTCTTTATTATCTGGTCTTCTATCCAGCCACCTTCACCATGTATATCTGACCTGCTGGCTGACTAGGGGCTTTTGGCCATCTTTGCTGCCATGGCGTGTGTGGCTGGCTCACGTTCCCCTTGGTCATTGAAGACCCTCGGGGCCTTTTCTGCAAAGCCACTTTCCAGCTGCGTAGCCCCTGTGTGTGCTGGTGCCTGGGGTGGTTTGTCTCCAGGAGCAGGACTTGGCATTGCCCTTGACACTTCTTCCCGAGGTTCATGTGCTGGCTCATGTGTGCTGTCTGATGTCCCTGTGAATGGCAGCACACCCCTCTGGGGGTATTGACTTCTCCTCTGCATTTGTGTTCCCTGCAAACGCGCCGAGGGTGAGCTCTGTCCCATCACCCATCTTGGCTAATGAAGCTTTTAGACCATGCTGGCCCGGCCTGGGCATTGCTCCCTGGCATACAGCAGTGTGGCCAGGTCTCCAGCTGGGCTTCGTGCCGCTGGTCAAGGCCCTTTGAGCCTGGGGTTCCTGAGGCCACTGCCTGGCTCAGGCCTGGGGTTCCTGAGGCCTGCTCTCACTGGTAACAACAGGAGCGAAGGTGGCAGCGAGTAACTTGGGCTTTTCCATATCTTCTGTCAGCAGGTCCTCTGCCCTGTTCAGTTATGGTGCCCTACTCTTCCTGTTACTGATATGTCGGCAAAAGCTTTTCCTGTTGCCTTTCACCTCCCTTGCTAGATTCCACTTCATTTGGGCTTTGGCCTTCCTAATCCCACCTGTGCATGTGTGGGTAGT